GTTTGTATCTCAGAAAAGCCTGAATTAAAAAAATTAAACATATGCTTACTGTATTTGAGTATAAAACAGATTTGAGAAGTAAAAACCAGAGAGTTTCTGGATGTAAGAATGATTAGGGATTGCAGTGGAGGCTATTATGTGTTCACCCAAAATTTTTCTTCTTCTTGTTGGACATACCAGTAGACTACATTTCCCAATATCCTCTGGATTTAGATTCAGTCACATGACTGAATTCTGGCCAATAGAATGTGGAAGTTATGTGTGCCACTTCCATGTCTAGCCCATAAAAGTCTCCTATGCATGATCCTTTCTCTTTTTCCTTGCCCACTGGATGAATGTGTCTGCCCAGGGTGACCTTAGAATAATGATCAGCCTGGATCCCTGGAGCAGAGCCCTTACCCCACCCCTAACTGTGCCCTAACTGGCTGGGCTTTTGTGTGGCTGAAAAATAAACTTGAAAAAAATGTGTTAAACCGCTAAAATTTGGGGGTTTGTTACAGGAGTTTTCACTACCTTCATTAATAAAGGGGGAGGGGTGGCAAATCTTTCCTTTTGAGGGCCAGATAGCAGACTTTTTTGTCTGTGGGCTTTATGGTTTCTGTCGCAACTACTCAAACCCCCTGTTCTAGTAGGAGAGCAGCCAAAGAAAATCCATGAACAAATGGGTGTGGCTGTGTTTTCATGAAACTTTGTGTACAGACAGCTGGACCACATGACTTAGTTTGCTAGTCCCTGTTCTGAGAGATTGGCACACCTTACCACCTCCTTTCAGGTGCCGTAGATGAGGAAATCATAGCAAAGTGGGGGCAGATGGATTCCACTAACCATCTGTGTCACCTCTTGGGCAAGTTACTGTACTTCTCTGAGTCTCCATTTCCCTCATCTGTAAATCGGAGCTAAGAATGGCTGTTCTAGGGCTGTTGTGAAGTTCAACTATCACTTCCACAGCAGGGCAAGCTGAGTAGTCCCCGGTCTTTCTCTCTCCTAGATGAAGGACACCATATTGTGTCCCTGAGGACAGAGAGCTTCTCTGTGTCCCTCACTTCTAAATTTACATAGTAGATACTCCATAAATATTTGTTCAATGGATGCAACTTTCAGAAAACTGATGAAAATTGTAGCTGAAAGGATCTGAGATGAACTGTAAGCCCTCAGGGAAACACAAACAAACAAAAAGCCCAAAGTGTTGTTCCATTAGAGTCCTTTGAAGTATGAAGGGGTCACAGTGCTCAAAAGTGAGAAAATCACCACCCCCAGAGGCTGAGAGGCACTCCCAGGAGCTCCACCCCCCTGAAGCAACAGCTAGGCTTATGGGACACCTGGACCTCTGGCGACGTTCTGCTTCCTGACGCTCCAACACACACACACAAAACGTGTGAAGAGGGGATGCTTGTGGCACTCTCCATTTCATCCTAAGAGCCCCTAAATGTACAAAGAACCTGCGACCACTGAGTGCATGACCTTTGGAGGAGGCCCAGAAACTGCATTCCTGAGTGAGGGCTGTCCTTCTCAGGCATGAGCTAGAGCTGTGGGGGAGATTGGATTGGCTTTTTGAAAAGGTTTATGATGGTTCTTCCTTATGAGGCAGGGTCCTTTCCTACATTTCTAGCGTGATATTAAAGTATGAAGTCCTGAAGTCCAGGACTTCATACTTTAGGGAGCTGGTGTAGCTCTCATCTGTATTTTAAAAAGACCCCTTTATTGCCTTTGCTTTGCTATAATTATTTCTGTGCAAATTCTGGGAAGCAAAATAAAAGTTCAGGGACATGTTATAGCTGGAAGAGAAAAGGGCTTCATATATAAGGTTATATATATATATATATAAGTTGTTTTTTTTTTAATTTCTGACAATCTCTAGGCAGAAAGTGAGAGAGCTGTTCACTCAGAGTTGAATCTCAGAGTCTGGATATTGGAAGGGGAGCTTAGAATTCCATATGCAGCTTCCTTTTCTAGACAAGGAAACTGAGGTCCAGAGAATTAAGTAGACATTTTCAATATTGCAAAGGGACTTGGTGGCAGTATTAGGTTTCCCAGCTTTAAGACCAATGTTCTGTTTTTCAAAGGAAAATTTTAAAAATGAAAGTATGATATACACATAGAAGAGAGTACATATCCTATGTGTATAGCTCAGTGGAATTTTTACTACCCAGATCAAGAAACAGTCTGTTACCAGCACCCCAGAGGCCAGTTACCCAAATGTTACTAATATTCTGACTTGGATCACAGTACATTTGAATTGCCTTTAAAGCATTAATACAAATTGAATTTTACAGTATGTTTTCTTCGGGATCTGGCTTCTTATGCTATTTTCCAACCCTCTCCTCAACTTTTTATTTTGAAAAATTTCAAATGTCTAGAAAAGTTACATGTATAATTGAATGACACCCAGACATCCATGTGGTAGATCGCACAAATGATCACAGTTTTTCCTCTCACTGTACCCAGACCCTTCACAACGTGACTTTGTGGCTTCTCCCATCACAATGTGGAGGCATCTCCCCTTGTCTGTGCTGGCCTTGTGATTGGCTTTGACTAACAAAAGGCAACACCCAGAGGTTGTGCCCGGTTTGCCGGTTGTGCCTCAAGAAGCCTCATGCGCTTCCTTTCCCTTTGTGTCTGTCTTGGAGCTTTGCCACTGCCATGTGAAAAAGCCAGGATTAGCCTGCTGCAGGAAAAGAGACAGGGTCCTAGTCACCCCAGCCAACACCCAGCCTATCCCCAGAAGCAGAGCCACCTCACCGACCTGTCATTGATCACACACACACATAAGGGGACCCAACAGAGATGACAGGAAGCATGCAGTTGAGCCCAGCCTAAATAGAATAATGAACTAAATAAATAGTTGCTGTTATATAGGGGGTTTGTCACACAGAAAAAGCTGTTCGATATAACCCTTTGCCCCAAATATGTTAGCATATATCTCCTAAGAATGAAGAGATTCTGCTACATCATCACAGTATAATTTTGTTCAGGACATCAACCATTGATACAATCATCTTATCTAATTTAAAATCCTATTCGACATTTTCTTACTGTCCCTACAATATCATTTATAGTTATTTTATTTTTCTACCCAGGATTCAGATGAGAATTGCTCACTGCATTTCATTGCCATTGTCATGTCTCTTTACATCTGTCTTCAATAGCCCCCACGCCCCCTTTTCTTTTGGTCTTTCATGTCATTAACACGTTTAAAGAGCTTAGACCAATTGACTTGGCCAAATGACCTTCAGTTTATACTTGTCTGATTGGGGTTCTCCAAGATTAATTTCAGATTATGCACTTTAGGCAGGAAAACTACCTGGATGATGTTGTGTTCTTAGTGGATTACATCACAGGGGACATGAAGCCCATTTGCCCAGTTGTTTTGGAATCTCTTTCAAGATGCAAAATCTTGAATCATTTTTGTGAAGTTAAGTGAGAAGAATTCTTGACTGAGGATATGTTGGTGGGTTATATTTTTTAATGTGGAAAGAGAGAAAACACAAGTTTATCTGATTTCCCAGGAATCTATGCCATTTAGTTCTAAATTGTTTGTCAACCTTGTCCAGTCCCCACAGGGCAGTGAACTGTGACCATATTAGAGGGTGACTTTCCTATATGAATCAGTTATTTTTTGTTTGGTCTAATAAGAAGTCATTATCAATTCATTCTTAATCATCTCACCTCAAACTTTTTTTTGGGGGGTAGCAAACCAGACGTTGTGTAAAACAAAAGAGAAGTACATTTGTTATTAATTATAATTGACTTCAGTGATTTAAAAATAATAAATACATTAGCTTTGTGTCACATTTTTTTTTTTCAAATGCGAAGAATCTAAATATACCTAGAGAGGTTAAAAAGAGCTCAGTCAAATGAAGAAAAAAACCAACAGGCTAGCAACGCCCTCTCTTTTTTTTAACAACTGAAGAGTTTTGGAAATCTTTTCAACAGCTTCTAGTGGAGTTATATCTGAAAGAAAGCTAAAACTGGTAAATTTGCATTTAGAAAGGAATAAGACAGCAGTTCCTTAGCAGAGAAAGAGTAAACTGACACCTTTAAGATGCCACATCAGAGATGTCTCCACACAAAACAGCTTTAAGATGTGCTTCTCACATCTTTACTAATAAACACAAGATCTCATCACCAATGCTTATGGCAAGGATTTCACAATGATTGGGGGTGTAGTGCCTCATTTGTGAGCCAGATGTGTCTAAACTGAAATCTGAATATTCTCATTTGGTAAACTCTAAACAGGATGATGAAAGTTAGATGAGAAATAGCCCCTTGGAAGAATAAGCATGAAAGAGCTTGTTTACACATTTCTGGAGCTCAAGTTTGGGATGGTTGTTATTTTACAAAGGTCGGGATTTTCCTTTATTTACCTGGTGTCTAACTTAATTCTGAAATTGTAGTTGTTTTATCCATAAGTGATGAACAGAAAGTAGTGTTTTGGAATAAAGATTTTATTTGTTGGGGATATGAAAACCAAATAATACTTTAAAGGGATGTTTTGGTTACTCACAAAGCCTGAAGGATAAACTGTTCTCACACTTCCGTGAGTGTGTGTGTGTGTGTGTGTGTGTGTATGTGAGTAAACAATATGCGATGGTGATATCAGGCACATCAATATTGAAAAATTTCCTATACATGGGGTGCCTGGGTGGCTCAGTTGGTTAAGCGACTGCCTTTGGCTCAGGTCATGATCCTGGAGTCCCTGGATCGAGTCCCGCATTGGGCTCCCTGCTCGGCAGGGAGTCTGCTTCTCCCTCTGACCCTCCTCCCTCTCATGCTCTCTGTCTCTCATTCTCTCTGTCTCTCATTCTCTCTGTCTCAAATAAATAAATAAAATCTTTAAAAAAAAAATTTCCTATACATGTATTAGTCAGGGCAAGTGACATCAGCAGCTATAATAAATACTCCCCCCCAAAGCTCAATGACTTAACACAATAAAAATGATTGCTTGCTTGTACCACAATACTGTGGTATTAAACAGCAGCCTTCCTTTGAGTAAAAATATTTACTATAAATTGAATGATAAATAAGAAATATTAGGTTATCTTTCAAAATATAGGAAACCTATATGTCATTATAAAAGAGTTCACTTCTGCAACATAATGCACAGTTACAACATGCTAAATTACAATATTAATTTTCTAGGCACTTTGTAATGATTTATTTATTGAGATTCATCTGGTGCTTCTATTATATCAATGAAGTACTAAGATATTGCCTTTCTTCTCGCTCCTTTCTCTCTTTGTGTCTCTACTTTTCCTGATTATTGTACAACTGGATAAGATCAATGAGAAACTGGATTCATGGGATAGTCCAGGCAGAACCACGTAGGAAAATGTTGGCTTGGCCTGACCATATCGATCCTGACTCGTTAGCAGGTATGATAGGGGTAAGATTTTATATATCATTTAGGTTAAGTAAATATAATAAATTTTTAAAAAGCATTGCAAAAATGTAATATAAGATTTATAATATAAGATTTTACTAATGAGCAGAAGATTTGTTACTTTTAATTTTTTATTAAGCATTTTTGTAACTAAGAGTAATACATTTTCATTGTTGAGAATGTGGAAAATTATAAAAAAGGAAAATCGATTATATATATTTCTATCACCTAAGGATGATCACTATTTGCCTTCTGATATAGTTCTTTCCTGTTTATACAACCACATACACACACCAAATATATACATACATATGTACATGCAAATACATAGCCTATATGCCTGTTTTGATGTTTTTATATAGTTTGGGGACACAAGTGAAACCATGTTTCATATGGCCATTAAAACTCATACAAAAGAAAACTTTTTATGACTACAGCATATTATCTTGTATGAAAATACCAGAATGTATTTAGCTATTCTTGGATACTTATGTTGCAAAAATATCACTTAAAATATCACTGAGATACACCCAGCAAAATCACAGAAAAATATGTGTGAGAATATTTATAGCAGCTTTATTCCTAATAGTCCACAGCTGGAAACAATCCAAATGTCTATCAGTTTTAGAATGGATAAAAAATATTCAATATGGCCATACAATGGAATATTAATCATCAATGGAAAAGAACTGATGGCTGGCAGCTGCATGTAACAATACAGATGATTTTCACAGACATAATGTTTAATGGAAAAATGGATACCAAAGAACACATTCTCTATGATTCTATTTATATGAAATTCAAGAATAGGTACAACTGATCCAAGGGGCTGGGAGATTAGAATAGTGCCTTGGGCAAGGTGTAGACAGAGATGGGGCATGAGGAGAACTCCAGGGTACTAGAGGTGGTCTATATTTTGGTCTGGTAATTACATACTACATTAATATGTAAAAATTAATTGAGCAGTACACTTCAGATTTGTGCACTTTATAAGTTACCTCAAAAGCAAAAATACGAATAAAAATATACTGTGATACATCTTTGAAGAGAGGTTTTGACTAAATTTCTTATAAATTCCTCAGTATAATCTTATATGTTCTAAAAATGCTATTTTGAAGCAAATAGCATATTATTTTGTAAAAACCTAGGATCTCCTTTTCTGTTATGGTACTCTTATAAGCTAGATAGAGGACAGCATTTTTGAGATAATGCTAGTAGTGGTTAGATTTGCCAAAGGATAATAATAAATCAGTTGGCAGAATCAGGACTAGAACCCTTCTTTAGACTTCATATAAATTTCAATTTAATCCAGCATTGAATATAAGAAATCTGAATTCAGGAGCACCTGGCTGGCTCAGTCAGAAGAGCATGCAACTCTTGATCTCAGGATCATGAGTTCAAGCTCCACATTGGATGTAGAGATTACTAAAAAACAAATAAATAGACTTAAAAAAAAGGAATCTAAATTAAAAATTCGGTATAATTAAAGATGTTGCTCCATGAACTGCATTTTACAAAAAGGATTCATAATAGGATTCTAAGTCTTATAAAATTTCCTAGTATAAGCCAGTTATGATATAACTAAACATAAAATAATTATGTTTTCAAGGATGTTGCTAATTTATAGAGTAAGATAATATGCATCCTAGAGTATAATAACTTTATATATGAATACTCTGCATATTAGTCAGGTTTCTGCTGTGATAGTGCTGCTTAACAAAACCACCAACATTTCAGTGGATTTCAGTAACAAATATTTTAATTTACACTTGCAAATCTGCAGGTCAGCTGTGGTTTCACTGATCTTGGCTGGTCCAGAATGGAGTATGGGTTTTGAGTCAGTTTCTTTTTTCTTTTCTTTCTTTCTTCTTTTTCTCTTTTTCTTTCTTTCTTTCTTTCTTTCTTTCTTTCTTTCTTTCTTTCTTTCTTTCTTTCTTTCTTTCAAGAGGTTTATTTATTTGACAGAGAGTGAGAGAGAGCATAAACAGGGGGAGCGGGAGCGGGAGAGGGAGAAGCAGGCTCCCTGCGAGCAGGGAGCCCAACGTAGGGCTCTATCCCAAGACCCTGGGATCATGACCTGAGCTGAAAGCAGAGGCTTAACCAACTGAGCCACCCAGGTGTCCCTTGAGTCAGTTTCAAGTCTGCTCCCCATGCTTACATTCCAGGACTCAAGCAAAGGAACAACAGAGAATCCTAGCCCAGCCACATAAGTACATTTAAACTCTCAGCTTTATGTCACATCTACTTAAATTCCATTAGCCAAAGCACCATGACCAAGCCCAACATCAGGCACTGGAGCGGGAAAAGACTGGGGTGAGTACCCTCCATCTATATCAGTAAATATTGCTGCATTACCAGCAACTTCCAAACTCCGTGTCTTAAAAGAACAATTTATTATTTCTCATCAGTCTAAGAATTGGTTGAGGTTGTTTTGCTAATCTGGGCTGGTCTCATGCATCGGTGGGCTGTGGACTGGTCCCTCCGGGGTCGCCTTAGCAGGGGCAACACAGCTCTCTTCCATGTGGCATCTTATACTCCAGCAGGCCTGCTGTCATTTGTTCTTATAATGGTGACAGGGTCCAAGAGAGAATGGAAGATTCCAAGGCTCTTGAGCTAGCCTTTGGAACTTGTATGGCGTCACTTCTGCTGCATTCTATTATCTACAGCAAGTCAGGAGATGGTCCAGATTCAAAACGTGAGCAAGTAGACTGCAATGCCTGATGGGAAGAGCTGCGAAGGCACATTGTGGAGTGTTCCTTTCTCTAACAGAGATGCCATGTAAGGAAAAAAAAAAAAAAAACCCACCCTGGCTTGCTTATCTTGAGATCCTACTGGGTGCTGTCCAAAACCATGAAGACATCACCAGATGATGGATTTTTTTCCCACGAAGACCTTGGTCAGGCTCACACTGAGACCCTGAGGAAGCTGTTTACTAGCACCTGATGAGAGGAGAGGAAGGGGACACATTTTACTTGGTCTAATTTAACTCTCCATATGTTCAGTGGTCATCATTCAATTAACTGTAGTAAGAAACTATATGATCAGAGGAATTGATACTAGACTAAATTTGGGTAATGAATAAAATTGTGCAAATAGGGTGTGAATTTTATTCTCATCCCCTCCTTCTTTTCTCCCTAGGATCCCTCACTTCCCCTGTGGATGTCTTTGCAGGGACCTTTTCCCCAGTTCTTCAGTGGAGTGTATTTTCCTACCCCATTGATATGAGGCTTAGGCATGTGACTTGCTTTTGGTTTATGACTTATGGGTAAAAGCAATGGTGTGTCAGTTCTGAAGCTAGGTCTTACGAGACACCGTTTCTTCTCATGTTTTGTGCTTCTGTCCTTGGGCAGCTATGGTTCTAAGGAAGATGAAAGACGTATGGAGCAGACCTGGAGCCAGTCTGCAGCCTGCGGCCAAGGCCAGCTGGGCCCAAATTAGGTCATCCAACCCCACCTCCTCTGCAGACAGGTGAATAAATGATTATCATTTTAAGCTACTGAGTTTTAGGGGGGGATTGTGATTTTAGGGTGATTTGAAGCATTATTGTGGAATTAGTTAACTGAGTCCTAAAATTCCCAGGGAAATGAGCTGAACCATCTATGACTCAGATTCACCTTTATCCACACAAAACTTGAACAAATTCTCTATAAAATTGTATAGGTCGAAGACATTCATATTCTACATTTGTAAATTGCCACATCTACATAACTCCTCCACTATTACTAACCCAATCTTTCTTTGAATTAATTTCAAATCAGTCATTTAGATCAACATTTCCACCTACCCATATCCAAGCAATAATATCCATGAAATCAAAGGTTTGGTGTGTTGTTATATTTTTCCCATCTATCTCTGTATCTCTATCTGTATATATGTATTTACATACATACTGTGGTAGTGATCATTCTATGTGTGCATCACCAAGCTTCACTTGCTATTTTCCTGGGCATATAGAATGATAACCTTTCCAAGCTAGGTGGGACCATGTGACCACATTCTGGCCAAGACTGGCTAGATCAAGAATGCTCAGAATCAGTGGTAATGATTTACTCATTTTTAGACCTGGTTCCTGAAATCTTCTGTACTATCTATCCCCTTCTCTCTTTGCTTGTCTACTGGCTAAATGCAAAGAACATAGTTTAGGACTCCAGATTCCTTGAAAACGGCAGAGTCAGTTGAGGGAAGGAACCTTGATTTTTAAAATTATCTTATAGATCAGAGGCCTATCCCCATCTCTCTTCACCCTCTCCGCCACTCCACCAGCCCACACTGGACTGTTCATGAGTGAAAAATCAGTGCTTACTGTGTTAAGCTACTGAGAATTCAGGACGTATTGGTTTTAGCAGTTAGAGTTACCTGTCTAATAAAAAATGCATCACCCTTAAAATTAGAATATATCCATTGATTTATTACCTAAGCTTACCTCTGTACCCACCTGTGATCCATATGCCCTACTTTGGAAACACTGCTACGATCCATCTTCTCATTTTATAGTCAAAGAAACAGCCCCAGAGAGGGAAGGTGCCACCCAAGTGTGCACAATGAGTTAGAGCAGGAGCTGAGGCTCAATCCAAGATGCCCAAGTTCCAGATTGGTTCTAGCTCAGGAATGCTGTGCATCTATTTGATCCCCTCAGGATTATGCAATAGTTTATCATCCATACTGCCGACATCCCCTGTTGCCTTGGCACTGCTGACAGATGCCAAGGACTTCCCTCTTTGCTCACCTGTGACTCTGCTTGAGGTTCTTCTCTGGCCATAGGGGTGCGTCCTGCCTGCATGCGGTGATGAGTGCCCGGCACTGCCCTCCACCAGTACACACACAGGAGCTGGTGGGCAAATACTCCCATTTCCTTCCTTTGAAGCCTGGTCTACACAGTCTTTCAGCAGGGGCTTCAGAGGGACTGAGCCCCTCCTTACCCACCTACATCCCCTCTCTGGGCTCCTTCCCTTTTCCTCTCATTTCCTCCTGACACGGCAAAGAACTTGAGGGAAGACATCTCTGAGGAGGTGGTCTCTGAACAGAGCCCTGAATGTCAGGAGGGACATGCTAGAACAGAGTCTTGGGCAAAAGAGTCACCACTTAAAACATCCCTGGAGGTGGGAGAGGGCTTGACATGTCCAAGGCATAGAAATGAAGCCTGTGTGCCTGTGGCAAGGGGGTGAATGGTGTATGTATCTGGGGGGGTCTGGTGGGGGGGAGGGCTCTTAGAGAGGTGGGCATGGGCTAGATCCCTATGGAGAGGTTTGAATTTGTCCCAAGAAAATGGAAGGCCAGCAAAGGGTCTTCAGCAAAGGAGCCATTTAACCAGATTTGTTTCTAGAGTTCAATAAGAGATCGTCCCAAGAAAATGCAGGGACCAAGGCATTAATGCTTTTTGGCAAGAGACAGTATAGGTGTGCAACGAGGTTCACCTGTGAGTTCCCTCTTGGAGGGGAGGCCGGGCCTGGTGGGGACCAGAGTCTCTGTACACGGTAACCAACGCCTGCCCTTTGCTTTCCATTTTCACCACATCTCTCTGTTCCTCCTTCCAGTTGGAAAGGGTTGGTGTATGTGGCCTTGGAAGGGGGGCAGTGAAGGTACCCCCACTGCTTTCTAAACTGACTCCTTGGGCCCTAGTCTGTCTTAAGTCCTTAAACTGCCAGCTACATCATGCTAAATCCAGAGTGGAGTTAATTCAACTGGGAAGAAAATATGAGCCACGATTAAACAGGCATTTCCCCCCGCACTTTGCCCCATGCGGAATAAACATCTTTTTGTACCACAGCCCATTGAAATTATTAAAGAAGGCTCCAGCAATATTTCCATTAGAGATTCTATTACAAAGGTGGGCAAACTGGGCCCTTGAAAACTCCAACAAGGGATCCTGGAAATGGCAGGGAAAATTGTGAGCTGTAGATGTAAAGTAATTGACTAAAAGTGGCCCAGACAGGCAGAACAACTCGGCCCACTGAGGGTAGTCTCTGTCACCCCGTTTCCGTCAGAGGTGGGGAAGTCTGTTGTGAAAGCAATTAGGTTGTCTGAGACTTGGAACTGAGACATCTCAAAATTAAAACAAAACTATGGAAATCCAAAACCAATCAATCCTCAAAAGACTGATTAAGTCTGTCTTTAAATGTACAGATGCTTGAATAATGTTATTTGAGTTATTATATTCATGAGGATTCTGAGAAGTCTTATGGCGTTACTAAGTTATACGCAAAATGATTTTGCAAAGCTGTTTTTGGTGTGAGCCAATGTGACAAGCACTTGGATAAACAGTTTTTTTCCTCCGAGAGGCACATGTATTGTGGTTTCAAAATGGGTTTAAAGAGTTGGGTCAGAAATTGTTTTATTTATTTATTTTTTATTTTATTAGTTTTTAAAGATTTTATTTATTTGACAGAGAGAGACACAGCGAGAGAGGGAACACAAGCAGAGGGGGTGGGAGAGGGAGAAGCAGGCTTCCCACAGAGCAGGGAGCCTGATGTGGGGCTTGATCCCAGGACCCTGGGATCATGACCTGAGCCGAAGGCAGACGCTTAACGACGGAGCCACCCAGGCGCCCCCAGAAATTGTTTTAAAAGGTGAGTTTACCCTTGCAGGTTTTGCATTTCTTAATCTGAAGCCCTTAGCCCCCAGCCCCACTCTGAAGTTTAAAGAGATGGTGATAGTACAAATTACTTTCTTTGTTTTCCATTTAACAGAGCTTGTGTTTTTTATGGGCATACAAACTATTTTTATAACTTAAATCTCTACAAACTGTGGCGTGAAGAGAAATAGTCAATGGCTATAAAAAATGTATGATAAATCACTGCTAATTAAAAATGCAAGTATTGACCACATTAACTGAGTCAAGTAATTGTTCTTTTACACTATAACTTAATTACTTTTTAATCCATAAAGGCTCATCTTATTAAAATGGGCTGTTATCGCAAGTACACTGAGGTTATTAAAACTAAATTAAAAATCTGAACAAGATATGAAAGTTTGACCTGTGGACATTAAGATGAGTATTTGCAAATGAAAAAGATACATATTCACATGGATCTTCATGAGATTGCTGAGGGAGAGATTTTACTTCATTTTCCCCTATTTATCTCTAACTTTAGAGAAAGGGTTCAAATCATTATGTTATCAACCTGCCCACTCTCTATGCTCTGATATTTCTCATAAAACAGGGATATAATAGGAGCTACTTGTAGGGCTGTTGCAGGTATTAATTCAGTTAATAAAGAATCTAGGACAGTGACTGGCACAGGGTAACTTTCAATACATGATACTTCTATTCCCCAGCCCCTAGCACCCAGTTATTGAGCATGTAGCTAATGCTTAGCAACTACTTACTAAGGAGTCTTCTGGTAAGGGAGACCTTGTCTAGAATTTGAATGATAGGACAGATATTCTCATTAGCTAAGGGAGGCCACTGAAGCTCATTTAACTCCCTTCATCAACACTTACCCTGTGCTACAGGGAGTTATCAGTGGAGTGCTGGAGAAAGACTTTTAAGAGCTGAATGTTAAATTTCCAGGAATTTTGTGAGCTGCTTTTATTTTATTTATTTATTTATATTTTTTATTATTATGTTATGTTAATCACCATACATTACATCATTAGTTTTTGTTGTAGTGTTCCATGATTCATTGTTTGTGTATAACACCCAGTGCTCCATGCAGAACGTGCCCTCCTTAATACCCATCACCAGGCTAACCCATCCCCCCACCCCTCCCCTCTAGAACCCTCAGTTTGTTTCTCAGAGTGAATAGTCTCTCATGAGCTGCTTTTAAACGTGACAGTTACTAAAAATTAAATTATCTAAATGTGCAATTAAATAAATTATACTAAAAGCAAGGTAATACCCAAAACTTAACATTTCCTCATTATTTTCCATTTTATGATGACCTCTGCTCTTGCATTTATTCATATCTGTCATAGCTATGTGGTGGGAAAACTGTATAATGCTGTGCTTTTACACATCTCTTCCCGACTCTGTGTTCAGTGATGGTACTTCATGTTGGTAGATGGAAATCAGCTGTGGGGTGAATATTTACACCATAGAAACCGGCAAATGCTACAAATCAGGGCCCCCCCCACTCCCCAAGTCCCCCCACCCCAAGCTACTAACTATTTATCAGCACACCTCTGACTGTGCTCAGCCGGAAGGGAGCAGAGATTAGGAGGGATGGATATCTTAAAAAAAAATTTATCATTTAACAAAACTTACAATTTTTTATTGCCTCATCCCCAATTTTTCTTCATGTTTAAATTTTCAGAGGTCATTACATCAGGGAAAACTGAAACTGTATTTGTGAGATTTCTGATCGCTCAGAGTGAAGATCTGCATGTACTTCTTCTCATTTTCTTTCTTTGCACATAAACATTTAGCTAGGTAACTTTTGGTAGCATAGGAATAGTAGTTTATGCCACTTGCTGGCTCTCTATCCCCCAAATACATTTGAAGTTCCTCAAGCTGTTACCCACAGACCCAG